CGCACGAAATAAACAACACTAGGTATGGTTACAAACTAGACAAAAATATTCAATCACCTACTCTACATGGATAAACTCAAACTCTTTGCCAAAAACGACAATCAGTTGAAGGGCCTCCTCAATATTGTAAAATGTTTCAATGACGACATAGGTATAGATTCGGATTAGATAAATGTGCAAAAGTAACATCCAAGAAAGGGAGAATTATAGAATTCAATAGATTTAGACTTTGTCACAAAGATTAGGGAACTGGAACAAGACGAAGCCTATAAGTACCTAGGAATTAGCGAAGGAGATGGTATACCACATAACCAAATGATGAAGAAGAAGAAGAAGAAGAAGAAGAAGAAGAACTCATTACTATTTTTCTCCTAATGGTCAGAGGTTTTGCTTCGTTCCTTAGTTCTTACCACTTTTACTCAACCATTGTGCCGGAAAAGGCCCAAAGCGTCCGAAGTGAAATCGGTGATCCGAGTTCTAATTCCGGGCTAATCTATTGCGTTCGCTTTCGCCCAAATACACTTGAAGAGGGCATAAATTTATTCCTTCTCCTTGGATCAAGTAGAGACTAGTAGACTAGGCTCTCTCATTCTGGGTGGCAATCCGTCATGGATAATGGAAACGCTGAATTCCGAACGGTGGAGAATGCAACAGGAAACTTAGTTCACTATATTTCTTAAGAAGTCATGATAATTTACAGCTAATAAAGAAAGAGGAATCTACCGTGAGTTATAATCATCTATATAAGGGTCAGGGTAGTATAAACAAGCCGCTTTCATTGATATTCACAAGGGGTGAATGACTGTAGAAGAGAGAACTCACTACTCCATAGCAAGTTTTCAGCTTCGCGCGGCACTCGTATTGGATGATAACGAGGAAGTCAATCGCAGTAGCATGTGAAGGATGAGCTTACTTGCCTACTGTACAAAGCAGTTTGTGTATAGCCCAGTACAAAGGTCTAAAAGTGAGTCCTCTAATGTACTCACTGCAATAATAAGAAACTCCATGACCAGTCTCTATAATATGAAATTCTTTGAACTTTTTGGCTTTTTCGTTATATAGATTATATTAGTTTATTTTTTTCCTATTTTTATTTCCGATTTCTCGTATTTTTCTCTTTTTTATTGGGTTTCTTCTTTTTTATTGGGTTTGAAGTCATTCTTTGAACTTTTTTTTATCTTTTTTTTTTACTTTTTCTGTTTTCCTATTTCTATTTTCTTTGTCGAGTTTCATGCTTCCTGTATTTTACTTTTTACTCCAAGTCCATTTCTTGCACTAAGTACACCTATAGGACTTTGAAGTTATTTTCTGTCTAGTTTAATCAATTTTTTCTTTCTTTCTTTCTTTCTTTCTTTCTTTCTTTCTTTCTTTCTTTTCCTTCCTCCCTTCTTTATTCCTCATGATTTTACTTTCATTCTTTTTATCGCCTAGTTTCTTTGCTTCATCGCTTTCGATGTTACCATCTTTATTTCTTATGTTCTTTGTTCTTTCTCTGTTTTGTTTCTATTTTTCTTCGTCTTTCTCTCCTTCTTGCACTTCGTTGTTCTTTCTATCTCTTTACCCTATTAATTCTTTGTTCTTTCTTTCTTTCTTTCATTCTTTCTTTTTTAGGCCTCTCTCTCTTTTTCTTTATTCTTTCTTTTTTTATTTTTGCTCGCTTTCTCATTTTTTTCTTTCTTTCTTTCTTTCTTTTTCTTTTTGCTCTCTTTCTCATGAGAAATGACAAATATGTGTTAGGTTTACAAAGTTTTACTTCGCTTTATTGCGGATATCGTTTTATTGCTAATTTCGTTTTACTGCAAACAAAAAACAATTAAAAGAGAAAAATAAAGGAATCAGAAATATGAGCTGAATAAAAGAAACTAATGCCACCTTGTAAATTTAACGTTTCTTTAAAAAAAAAGGTCTGATCGAAAATCTGGTCATGTCGTAGCCTCTTAGAGTTCCAACGTTGAAACGTAAGTTCTTACTTCTATGTCCACAGCTCATATGTCAAAAACAGACCGTAACTTCAGCTATGAAGGCAGATTCGTTCATTAGCGATAGACCCTACGACAGGCAAGCTTAAAAAAGACATGACCAACAACAGCCATGTATTTGGCCAATGACAAACAAGCAGTGACTGAGACTAACTACAACATATTGGAGCTGATTGTCTCCCACGAGTTCATATAACTCAACTGTGTATTGATTATTTCCACATGTCTATCCGGGTACGTCTTTCTTTTTATGTACCGTGTCAATTCAAGACGTAGAAGACTCCCCATATTCCTTGTAGCTCTCAATAAGTTTTGTCCCTTTGCTACTTCCCCAGGCCATGTTCTGTCATCCACTTGCGTAAGCCGGCTAGGTATGTCATGCCTTGCTTTCCTTTGTCTCCTTTTCCCTCTATTCGACATGTGAGTATCAGATTCTCCAAGCCCTCGTTTCTCATTATGTGTCCAAGAAATTTCAGCTGCCTCTTCCTGATGTCAAGTATAAGCTTCATCCTTGTTTGCATACTCTCCAAAACCTCATCGTTGCTCCTATGTTCGGTCCATGACATCCTTAGCATCTTTCTGTAGAACTAGGGTCTCTTCTTCATCTTTTGAGGACACAGTCCAACATTCGTAAAGGAGGACAGATGTCACGTAGTAGCTTTTATTTGTTACCAAAGAAATCATCCTGTCACGTAATACTCTGACTAGCTTTTGGATTGCGTCTTTGGCCATCACACTACCTCTTCGGATATCAGCGTCGCACTTGCCGTCCTCTCTCAAAACACTTCCCAGATATTTAAATTTCCGTGCCTACTTGATTTTAGTGTCCACGACCTGTAAATCGGTTTTCGGGTTCATCCTTTTACTGATGACTATGCATTCTGCCTTCTTGTAGTTTATGCTTAGTCCCTTCTTCACGCTCTCCTTCGCTACCTTCTGTAGGAGGATTATCTTTTCCGTGTCTGCTATCACTACTGTTTCATCTGCGTATCTTATGTTGTTAAGATTGTGGCCACCAATTACGAATCCCGGTGGGAGTTCCAATTGACTAACAGAATTCTTTCGGAATGTTGGTAGTATCCTAGAACGCATTTCTTCAATAATTTATCTAGTATCAGTCCTACTCCTTTATCGTGTTTCTCTCCGCCTGCATGAATAACCATGTGCTGGTCGCTGACAAAATCTCCGTTGTTTTCTCATCTGTTTTCACAAACACCTAAAATGTTGATTTTTAGCCTGCTCATATCTTGTTTCTCATTAGCTAACCGGCCGTAGTTGTTCCACATCCTAAAGTCTCATGTCCCAAGATTTTTTTTTTTGTTTGATGCGAGTAGTCACAAGATAATCCAGTCCGGTGACGCCTATTGCTCATGTCATTTCGTTCCGGGCGAGGGATAGGTTCCGTGGAATGTTATCCGCTTTTACCACCTTTCTGTGTTTATATCCCGTGTACTACCTTATACCCTGAACGAACTCTCCCTCTTCAATGACTGATATATAATACCCAGAAACTTTGTAGCTCTTGGAAAATAAAAGCTCTTTCAATTTTCTCACGTATTATGTTAGTTTGTAATTTTGTCAATTCCGCGTTTTCCTTGTGAATGGAAAAGCCGCCATTGAAACGTTTTTTCTCTCTTGAACACTCCTATTCTATAGTTAATAGACTCTCCAACTATAATAAGTAGGATCAGTAGTAGCAGTCGCTCGGTGAGTTGGCCAGTCAGTCGATGTCAGACGACCGTTAGTCGGATATTAAAGTATCAGCCATCACAACGAGATTACTGTGTCATTACCTATTATATCAAGTTCCTAAAGTTTTGTACGTCGAACCCATTTAGGACCGACTTAGTACAAATACAAGCCTCTACTGTGAAACCAATACGTAACAGTATGATATAGGTCTTTCTTTCTTGCTTTCTTCGTGTATTTCCACTGAACTATTCTTTTTCTTTCTTTATTTTTTTCTTTTTTTCTCCTTGTATTTCCACTGAACACGTTACCTTTCTTTCTTTCTTTCTTTCTTTCTTTCTTTCTTTCTTTCTTTCTTTTCCTTGCATTTACACTGAGTTCTTCTTTCTTTCTTTCTTCTTCTTGTTTTCTTACTTTCATTCATTCTTTTTTCTTTCTTCCTCTTTGTATTTCCACTGATCTCTTTGTCTACCTCTCTTTCTTTTTTCTTTCTTTCATGATTTCTGTGTGTATTTTCTACTGAACTTTTCTTCTTTTTTCTCTTCTTTCGTTCTTTCTTTCTTCCTTCTTTTCTTTCAATCTTTCTTCCTTTCTTTCTTTCTTTTTTCCTTCTACTTGCATTTTCTTTGTTTTTTATTTCTTTCTCCTTGTATTTCCGCCAAAAGTTTTTTCTTTCTTTCTTTCTTTCTTTCTTTCTTTCTTTCTTTCTTTCTTTCTTGTATTTTCTTTTTTTTTCTATTTAAAGTTTAATATTTTTCTTTCTTTCTTCCTGTTTTTATTTTTTCTTCTTCTTTCATCTCTTATTTATTTGTTCTATCTATTTCTTTCTTTACAGCTTTATTTATTTTTGTCATATCTTGCCTACTTACTATCTTTATTTATTTATTTATTTCGTTATTTCTTTCAATTCTTTCATTTTACAACTTTCGTTTTTTTTTGTTATAAAAAGGCTGTCTACAAGAAGATTATGCACCGCCAATTATACAAGTGGCCAAGGCCTGTTAGTTTAGTTTGAAAGAAAGAATTTGCCATTCTAAGATTCTTAACGAATTTCATTTAGTCATCCATCCATTCTCTACTTTTTCCTTGCTTTGAATAATCACATTTTGAAGAGGAAAATATTTGTGGATGAAGCGTTCTATGAAGAATATAAGAAGAACATTGAAGCTGAAACAAAAATGGACGGCACGAATGGCATCAAATAGAAAAAAATGCCTGTATCGTTGTAAGCAGCGAGGAAGATGGAAGTAGAAGTGAAGGTGTTTGGTTAAGTTTGCTGTCTATTGGGATTGGAAGAAGAACGTGAAAGGTAAAAAGAAAGATAGAAAGAAATTAAAAATGAACGGAAGAAAGAAATGAGAGAGTAATGCAGGTAAAAACGTACATACACGAAAAAGAACGAAGAAAAACGAAAGAAAGAAAGAAAGAAAAAAGAAAGAAAGAAAGACTACTGAAGAAAAAAGGTGTAAGTAATGCAGAAAAATGAGAACATACAAGAATAAAAAAGAAAGAAAGAAAGAATGTGTGAGTAATGCAGGCAAAAACGAACATACACGAATAAGAACGAAGAAAAAAGAAAGAAAGACTACGGAAGAAAAAAGGTGTGAGTAATGCAGAAAAATGAGAACATACGAGAATAAAAAGAAAGAAAGAAAGAAAGAAAGAAAGAAAGCAGGAAAGAAAGAAAGAAACAAACAAACAAAGAAAAAAAGAAAGAAAGAAAGAAAGAAAGAAAAATGTGTCAGTAATGCAGGGAAATGAGAACAAAAATGAATAAAAAGAAAGAAATGTCAGAGTAAGGAAAAAAGAACATATAAGAATAAGATCAAAGAAAGAAAGAAAGAAAGAAAGAAAGAAAGAAAAAAGAAAGAAAGAAAGAAAGAAAGAAAAAAAAAAGAAAGAAAGAAAGAAAGAAAAAGTCTCGTAAAAAACGAAAGAAAATAAAAAGAAAAGATTACTAGGAATAAAGATAAATTAAGTCGATAGAAAGATAAGCAGTAAAAAGAAAACTACATAAAATGAAAGAAAAAAATAAAGAAGAGAGAAAGAATAAGACGTAAGAAAAAAATTCCAAAGAAAGAATCTAGCCCGAAAGAAAAAACCAGAAGTATAGCGATGAAAAATAACTAGACAGAAAACAGAACAAAAAACAATAGAAACACAAAAAAAAAGAAAAAAAATTAGAACCAAAATGAAGAGATGAAACCGAAAGAAAAGGAAGAAATAACCATTAAAAAGAATAAAAATATGAATAAAATGAAAGAACAAAGATGAACGATAACTTCAAGAGGAAGAAAACAAAAAGAAACTCAAAATAAACTAACCGAAAAGAAAAATGAATAGAAAAATGAAGAGATGATATTTAAAGCAGAAGAAAAAAGGAAAGTAGGAAAAATAAATAAGAAAAAAACTACAAAAAAGTAAGTCAATGACGTATGTTCACGTAGTAATTATAGTTATGCATTTCGGCTTTTGACATATATATATATATATATATATATATATATATATATATATATATATATATATATATATATATATATATATATATATATATGCTATCGGTTGATCGATGTGAAAAGAAAGGTAGGGACGAACAATAGAAAGTAACTCCGAATGAGAACAGAAAGAAAATAGACACTGCCCCTCTGTTTTGAATTACGAATCCATCCCGGTTTCAGTCTTCTTTCTTTCTTTCTTTCTTTCTTTCTTTCTTTCTTTCTTTCTTTCTTTCTTTCGCCCCCTCTTTCTTGTCCTTTCTCTCTCTCTCTCTCTCTCTTACCTTTCTTTCTCTTTTTCATTACTCTCTACCCGCACTGATAAAAAGGAAAGAGTACGCGTTGCTCTCCACCGTTCAGTGACTATTTTTGACGACCTGCGCCGTCAGGACGCACCAATATGTCGTCAAGCGCTGCTTGCCAATTCTTTTGCTTTTTGGTTTATCTTTATTATATATATATATATATATATATATATATATATATATATATATATATATATGACATGCATTATGTGTAAGTTATCTTTTCAGCGGGACGTCCTCATATTTTTACTTGTCAATCGCAGAAGCATCTCTCTAGTCGATAAGAAACATGTTATCGTCTATCTCTGTACGTTTCCCGTTTCTTCCTCGTCATTGTCTTTGTCTTGCAGCTTTGATAGCCATCTCGACGCTCATGATAACGTCTAAAGTATAATTACATCGATTTTTTTTAACAATGTCAGATGTAGACTGCCCGCCGCAGATTAGCAATTAAATAAGTTTCTTTGGGACTAGATATCTATCTTCAGTTCTAAACCTCCCCACAGCTAGTAGTTCTCAAAGTTGGTCTCAAGACGCAATTATTGGGTTACCCCAAAAGTTCATGATTTGTCGTTAAATGCTATTAGAAACATTTATTTGATCTCATTACATTCAAAACAATTGATTATTGTTCAACCACTCGAAATCACAAGATCCACTCAAGATAGAATCTTCTGATTTTTAAAAAATTTTTTTTAATGGCCTCAGAGTAGAGAGCAAGAACTGCATTTGTAGAACTCATATAGTTTGGTTCTGGACCTGAAGAGGTTAAGATTGTAATGATCGGGAAAGCATCTTCTCAAGAGTCTGATCCAAAAAGCAGCATCCCAAGAGGCACTCAAGGTAGAGAGCTACTGAATGTGGTTGCTATAAGAAGGGGAATTAAGAAATACTTATTATGAGATATAGGATAAAAAAAAAGTTAACTATAGATTTGAAGATGTGAAGAGGGAAATATTATCTTGGGAGTGTGTTCCACAAACCAGCAGCAGTTTCGAAATAAGCTGACCGAATGGAATTTCTTTGTTTCGAATTTTGATTGCAATGCGTAAAATGTCGCATCTGCGTGCATATTTAAAATAAAGACATTATATTATTTTAAGACATTTTTTTTATGTTTATACGTTCTTTTTATAGATATAAATATTTAAGTAAATGATCTAGTTTATAATAAACAGTATTAACGACATTTACCGACCTAAATATCCATGAAATTTTCATCGAAAATATGTGTCCTCCAGCAGGGATGGAACCTGTATCCTATACAGAACCGTCATATAGCCTGACGTGCTTTACCGATTGAGCCACAGAGGAGCGGTTCGGTTAGCAAAGGTCAATTTTACTGTTTACTTTCTAACCGAAACGCTCCTCTGTGGCTCAGTCGGTAAAGCACGTCAGGCTATATGACGGTTCTGCATAGGATACAGGTTGGATTCCTGTCGGAGGACGCGTATTTTCTATGAAAATTTCTCGGACATTCAAGCCGGTAAATGTCATTAGTACTGTTTATTATAAACAGTGCATTTACTTAAATATTTGTATCTATAGAAAGAATGTATAAACATAAAAAAATGTCTTAAAATAATTGTCGGACTTTGTCCATTTCATAAAGTGTGACGCCATTATATTATATTGAAGATCCGCCTTAAGAAAAATAGGCATGTATAGACACCAGATGTGGCAGTTGAGTTGAAGCTATTGGCGCAGAAAGTAGGCTCGGCAAACCGAGTTTAAATTATGGCCAAATCCGTCTTCACTTTCACAGAAATTCCCTAGCGATAGACAGGAATCCATCTATTATAGCCCTTAGTTATGGGTAAAATAATACGGTGGATTTGAATCTCTAAGTTTGTTTAGAGGCCAGTTTATGGATACAGACCAAATTATTTTCAAAACCGGTTAGGCAAAGACTGCACACGGTAAAACAAAATTCTTGCATGGAGTATTGCTGCCATATTTGCTCTGGGGCACCTTCTGTTTACCTCGGAGTTCTTGACAAGATCCAGAGACGGATATGTAATCTAATTGGCCCTGATCTGGCGTCTCGTCTGCTGTCACTCTCTCACAGACGCGCCGTCGCCTCTCTCTGTCTTTTCTACAAATACTTTCATGGTAATTGCTCCGATGAGCTGCTTTCACTGGTTCCCAGACTCCATGAATTCAAGCGCCCTACGAGGCTGGCATCCCGCTCCCACCCTTACACTGTAGAAACTTTTAAATGTAGCTATCTCTTCTACTCCAACAGATTCACACCTCGCACCTCTCGCCTGTGGAACACCCTTCCCAACTACTGTTTCCCTGATAGCTATAATCTCCAACTATTCAAATGTAATGTCAATCGACATCTCCAGTTACCTTGATCTATCTACTATCCTCATCCTTTCTTCTATCACTCCGATCTGCTCTTGCTCCAAATATTCTGCAACCTCCTGCATCCTAGTGGCTTCACGCCTTGCTCGGGGAGTAATGCTTAAAAAAGAAAAAAAAGAAAAAAAAAGGAAAACACAGAAACACCACCTGGCGTGGTAATCATCGGGATCTACGCTCTAAGAACCCAAGAGAATGAAGGAGATATTAAATGCCGGTTTTTAAATATATATTTTTTGTCCCAAAGTGATTAACACCTAAATGCACCCAAGCCGATTAATATATCGACTGAATATTTGTGTTTAAAAGAAGAAAAAGATGAAAAAAGGAAAGGAAAAAGGAAACTGCTTCGTTATATAACATAAAACATGTTTGTTAGACAAACTGATTGTATCGGGTAAAATTGCTTTGATGAGGTCAAGAGTAAAGACACTTCAGATCAGCGCAACTAACACAATAGAAAGACTGAGAAATATCGCAACCAAAATGTGTTAAATAAACAAAGATCAATTGAACAGTCCGAACACAGAGAGAATACTGAAATCATGTGATCGAAGTACATTGAAGAAAAGAGAAAGGCCGAAGAAAGTATGAACCATTTTTTTTTTTAAATAAACAAAGAGGAACTGAAATGTTTGAACATATGGTGAATCGGGAAAACACTTCAACTTGGGACCAGACAGAAAAGCTGCTTTTTAACAGCCGGAGCCGAGTGCTAAATAAACAAAGATCAATTGAAAACTCCGAAAATATATAGAATAATGAAAGCACTTCATCTCAGGACATTAAACAAAACGGAAATATCGGAAAATATGTCTAATAAAACATTATTTTTAATCCAAAAATATGATATTCCCTTAAGATGATTCAGATATGTACCATACGTGATATATTCTTGGATAATCATGTCTGCTTGGAATCATGACTGACAAGGCAGATTTTCCTGCTTTAAGTTGCCGTTTCTTTCTGCGATATACTGGTTGCCAAACAAGGCTATAAGATCTAGACTGTGCTGCCATTGACTCCACTGCTGGAAGGAGAAACGAGATGGATTCATAACTTTCCCAAGCGTATTTGCGCGTATAGTTTCATGGTACTGTTACGGGTGTGCTCTTCGCGATGGTGCCTGGAATTTAAACGCAATACTGGACAGGCCGTGAGATCTCATCAATTTACAGTTGAGCTTGATGTAGCCGTAACTTCTATGCCAACAGTTTTTTTTTTAAATCGCACTTCTCGCTTGTGGAATTCCCTTCCGGCCCCATGCTTTCCAGCCAACTTTAATGTGCAAAAATTTAAATGCAATATTAATCTCTACTTACTGTCTTCCTGATTGCTTTTTCTCTTTATACTCATTACTAATGTTTCTGTTGCTAACCCCTCCACACCCTGTAGCCCCTTGCGTTTTCGTGACTGTACTTCCTTGCTTGGGGTGATATAAATTAAAAAAAAATAATTAATCTAAGAAGCTTAACTAGAATATCGAACGCGGAACTCTTAATTCTCATTCGTTATCCGTTACACTACAACGCATACCTCTCGCCTAATGTTCCTTATATATGTTTCAAGTCAGAAAACAATAGGTTGGGGATACTCATACTTTCCATTTCAAATACATTGACTTAGTGTCGTCTATTTTCATGCCCTATTATCAATTGCCTTCGTTTGGGATGGAAACATGTCAGTCCTTATTTTGCTTCGACAGGAAGTGCCAATGGCATCTCCATAATTCACACCCTTGAAAGACTCATGAGGACAACCACAAGCTTTTAAAAACGAAAGGAGAGTAACTAGAGTATTACGACCGAATCCCGTTGAAACAGCGGTTCCCCTGTGAACACCGAAGTTAAGCAACACCAGGGCTGGGTTCGTTATATTAACTTACGCGCAAATACTCTTGCGAAAGTTACGTTTCATCCGCTTTTCCACACATTTGTGTGCTAATTACTAACTATTATTAACTTCTCACCCCCCCACAAAAAATAAAATAAAATAGAATTGCGCACGAAATATTTAGAATTCGGCATATCAACGTCTATGGGTTATTTAACCCATAGAGGT